GTCGCTTGATAAACATATAGTTGAGCCACGGTAGTCACTTGGGATATTTAAACATTTTCTTCATTGACTTTCTGGGCCGTCAAGAGGCAGTCCTTTAGGAGCCAATGTGGTAGTTATACAGCTCTCAAATTTAATCAAAAATATCTTCATTTGTGTTCCGAAGACGAACGAAGGTCTTACGGGGTTGGTACAGCATGGGGGTGAGTAATTAATGACTTAATTTTCATTTTTGGGTGAACTAACCCTTTAAGTCAGACATTAAAAACATTGACAGCCCAAGCTTTTGTTTAGTTGGTGTTTTCTTCATGTTTTTCGCCTTCGAATCTGTCCAGCTGTTCTTCACTGATTGTTTTGTCTTTTGTTGTTGCCGGCTGCCTTCAATGTCCACTCCTTTTTTATTTATTTTTTCATCTGGACTTTCCAATAGGCTACTGCTGTTGGCCAGTAGTTAAAATGTCATGTTCACCATAAATATTAAAATTCACTTTCAAAAAAATATAAATTGTTTGTCATTTTGATATTGTTATGTCAGTGCGCTATATTGGTATTGTGTCTATTTTCCATTATTACTGTTACGAAACTGCTCCGAGACGTAGAGATGAAGATCCAAATGCAGCTTTTCTTTAAGAATAGTCGTACAGGCAGGGTCGAGAATCAACAGACAGGACAATGGAGAATACACAGTGGGAATCCAAGAAACAGGCAGAGGTCAGGGCAGGCAGCAATAATCAGAATCCAAAAACAATCCAAAGTCAAAAACCAGAAAACGAACACGGAAAACGCTCAGAAATGCAGACACACAGTACAACAAGACTTTGCGGTGAGTGAATGTGAACACAAGGACAGAATATAGACAGACTAACAGGATGAGACACAGGTGAATGCAATCAGTGAATGTGATCAGTGATGACGAGTCCGAGCAGTGAGTTCTGGGAAATGTAGTTGTGAGTGAAACATGAACATCTGGTGTGGAGTGCCCTCTGGTGACACCTGGTGACCGTTACATAGACCCCTCGGGCGGCCACTGCGGTGAAGACCCCTCGGACGGCCACTGCGGTGAAGACCCCTCGGGCGGCCACTGCGGTGAAGACCCCTCGGGCGGCCACTGCGGTGAAGACCCCTCGGGCGGCCACGGCGGTGAAGACACCTCGGGCGGCCACGGCGGTGAAGACAAGTCATAAGGACAGACACAAACACAGAAACAAACACTGGCTCGGGAGGAGACACTGGATCGACCATCTTGTCTGGAGACACTGGATCGGCCATCTTGTCCAGCCACACTGGATCGGAGGCGGCCATCCTGTCCTTAGACACTGGTTTGGAGGCGGTGACATGAACAATCTCTGAATTGGCAGAAGTAACATGAAGAGTCTCTGAATCGGCCGTCTTGTCCATAGACACTGGCTCGGAGGCGGCCATCTTGTCCTTAGACACTGGCTTGGAGGTGGTGATGTGAACAATCTCTGAATTGGCAGAAGTAACATGAAGAGTCTCTGAATCGGCCATCTTGTCCATAGACACTGGCTCGGAGGCGGCCATCTTGTCCTTAGACACTGGCTTGGAGGTGGTGATGTGAACAGTCTCTGAATTGGCAGAAGTAACATAAACAGTCTCTGAATTTGCCATCTTGTCCATAGACACTGGCTTGGAGGCGGCCATCTTCTCTTTAGATGCTGACTCGGAGGCAGTGACGTGAACAGTCACTGGATTGGCAGAAGTAACATGAACAGTCTCTGAATCGGCCATCTTGTCCTTAGACACTGGCTCGAGGCGGCCATCTTGTCCTTAGGCACTAGCTCGGAGGCAATGACGTGAAAAGTCTCTGGCTCGGCAGGGCTGACGTGAAGCGTCTCAGGCTCGGCAGGGCTGACGTGAAGCGTCTCAGGCTCGGCAGGGCTGACGTGAAGCGTCTCAGGCTCGGCAGGGCTGACGGTGAGCGCAGGCTCGGCAGGGCTGGCGGTGAGCGCAGGCTCGGCAGGGCTGGCGTGAGCGCAGGCTCGGCAGAGCTGGCGTGAGCGCAGGCTCGGCAGGGCTGGCGGTGAGCGAAGGCTCGGCAGGGCTGGCGGTGAGCGCAGGCTCGGCTGACGGTGAGCGCAGGCTCGGTAGGGCTGGCGGTGAGCGCAGGCTCGGCAGGGCTGACGTGGAGCTCAGGCTCGGCAGGGCTGACGTGGAGCTCAGGCTCGGCAGGGTGGACGTGATGATCCTCAGCTTTGTCCACCAAACCCAAATAAAGATCCAAATGCAGCTTTTATTTAAGAATAGTCGTACAGGCAGGGTCGAGAATCAACAGACAGGACAAAGGAGAATACACAGTGGGAATCCAAGAAACAGGGAGAGGTCAGGGCAGGCAGCAATAATCAGAATCCAAAAACAATCCAAAGTCAAAAACCAGAAAACAAACATGGACAACGCTCAGAAATGCAGACACACAGTACAACAAGACTTCACGGTGAGTGAATGTGAACACAAGGTATATATAGACAGACTAACAGGATGAGACACAGGTGAATGCAATCAGTGAATGAGGTACAGGTGAATGTGATCAGTGATGATGAGTCCGGGCAGTGAGTTCTGGGAAATGTAGTTGTGAGTGAAACATGAACATCTGGTGTGGAGTGCCCTCTGGTGACTCTCAAGGCCACTCCACCTGGTGACCGTTACAATTACAGTAACTACGTGAAGTGATATGGTCAAGTCAAGTCAAGTCAAGTCACATTTATTTATATAGCGCTTTTCACAATACAGATTGTATCAAAGCAGCTTCACAGTGATAACATGAAAGTAGTACAACACAGATCAATAATATTGTTAAATATTAAATATTAAATCTCACCAACTGAGCAAGCCAAAAGCAAGGCAACAGTGGCAAGGAACCAAAACTCCATCAGATTGGATGGAGAAAAAAACCTTGGGAGAACCCAGGCTCAGTCGGGGCCAGTTCTCCTCTGGCTAACATTCATATTGTTTATATATAAATATTAAATATAAATATTATTATATGGAACCGTAATGCGGTCAAGGAACTACTTTAGCCGTGCGCTTCTCTAAAAATAGTTGCGCACCTTAGAACATTCATCAGCTAGTCCGATTCAAGCATAGCGTAGTACAAACCTGTAAAAACCCCAAACCTCTTGCTTCTGTGAAACACAGAGGATATTTAGAAAACTGACTTTCCCTTCTCCATACAATGTTGTCACTGACAAATTCTTTAAAATTTCTTTAGTGTACATGTAGGTTTGGTACGACATAAGGTGAATAAAAAATGACAGAATTAGATTTATTTATTTATTTATTTAACTTTAAAGTAAATGTAAATGAATGGATAGGACAAAAAATGAGCATCACATCATCGACCCACATGATTTGAAACTTTTTAAAGATGCTCACCTGGCAGATAAAATGAAAGATCGTTCAACACTCTCAATGTTCAGCTCATTTTGATACCCCTCTTGACTAGGTTTACTAACCTGAGGAAAAAATACAGATAATAAAAGAGAAAAGACAATATGAAATTTATAAATATTGCTCTTTTTACAAAAATCATTGATGACAATTGTTTAATTATTTATTTAAAACAAAACTATATTTCATTTCAATATGATAAATTTAGAATAAAGATCTCACCTTCATGCTAGCTAATGGCAGTACGTTGTTCAGTTTGAAATTCCCAGATGCTACTTGCGTGGTATAGAGAAGACAATCGTTTGTCTGTTCAAATACAATAGAAATACATTTTTATAGAGCAAGAAAAAGAATCAAAACATATTTTAGGGTTTTTTTTACATAAAAATTGCCCTAACCTAACATTATAGACATTGAAAGTACCTGCACAAAAGTTCACATAAAATCAACATTACAAAAAAAATACCACAAGTTCTGCCTTTGATTCGATTTTGTTGTAAGCAATAAGGTACGAGAGACTGTGCTGTATCGTGAATAAGTAACGGCTGAAGGGCGTTGTTAGGCACGACGCGAAGCGCAGCCACACAATATTAAAGTAAAAAAACAATGTATTAGTGCAACTTTCTTGAATTAAAATCACTAAAAGCCTTCCTTCCGTGAGAAAAAATAGTCCCTGAGCATGAACAGCAACAACGTTCCAATGTGTAAAATGCATGAAAGCTCAAATAAAAACAACATAGAACCGCAGTGTTGCGAAGCGATCAATAGAACCGTTGGGTGAAGCGGTCATAGCCGTGTTTTATCTTGAATAAAGCACAGTTCTTGACCAATCAGAATCAAGGATTCAAACTAACCGTTTTATAAATATATATACTGTATATATTCTATTGTTCACTAATACATACTCACATCTATGAACAACTATGAACAAATTAAGTCCTATGGTAAAATGAAGCCCTGCACACTGAATAGAGTGTTTCACTTGGAAATATGTCTCATGTACAGTTGCATTGTGAATATTGATTCATGTCATTTTTAATACAATTGAATGAGAATTGACAACTTTAACTTACTAAGAAGAACATTCGAGGCTGCATCACTTTCCTGGAGAGCTTCATCAAGATCCCTTCCTTTAACAAAACCTAAAGAAACATACATTGATATATTTCAAAAGCATTTACTGTTGCAAATAGTTCTGTCACAGTTGGTAAATCCTATGTCTTCTTCATGTTCCGTGTTTCTGTTGTTGTATGTTCAAAAGGAGATTTATGCCATGGACTTACCACCAAAACTCAACGATTTAATCGCTCTAGCATTAAGAGTGGAAGCCAGGCTGTCTCGAGTGGAGCGGAGAGTACCCAACTACCGTTCTTCAGCGGAATCTGAGGGTCATCGTGCTGGAGGTGGGGACGCGGTCAGCCCCGTCTACGATCCCGAGCCTATGCAGGTGGGTTGAGCCCGGCTTTCCCAGGATGAGAGGGAAAGGCGGAGATCCCAGGGCCTTTGCTTGTAATGTGGGGGAGCGGGACTCTTTGCCTACAACTGTCCGTTAAAAGGCCGAGCCCGATAGTAAGTATGAGGCTACTATCGGGTGGGATCTCCACCGCGAAGACCTCATCGACATCGACTCTCCTTCCTGTTAGACTCCGATGGTCCAACCACCGTCACGATTGTCATGCACTTCTGGACTCGGGCGCCGAAGGTAACTTCATGGATCACAACTTTGCACTCAACCATCAAGTTCCCCTCAAACCACTCACCCATCAGATTGCAGTGCACGCCCTCAACGGTCAAAAACTCCCCACTATATCTCTGGTTACTGAAGACATCAACCTCATCACGTAAGGCAATCACTCTCACCATCTCATTTTACATACTGAACACTCCGCTTGCACCCATCGTTCTTGGTCACCCATGGCTCACCGGTCACAATCCCAAAATAGACTGGCAGCTCAAATCAGTAGCGGCATGGAGCAGTTTTTGTCATAAGTCCTGTCTTGACTCTGCCTGTCCGTCTGTTTCTGTTCATGTGTTACAGGAGGAGACAGTGGATTTATCCAATGTGCCCACGGAGTATCGGGATCTGAAGGAGGTGTTCAGTAAGTCTCGGGCTGATTCTCTCTTTTTTTTGTGGGGAAGAAAGATGGATCATTGGGACCTTGTATTGATTACCGAGGGTTGAACAACATCACGGTAAAGAATACTTATCCTTTGCCGTTGATGTCTTCAGCCTTCGAGAGGTTGCAAGGAGCATCTATCTTCACGAAATTGGATTTAAGAAATGCTAATCATTTGGTCCGCATTAGGGAGGGGGATGAATGGAAGACCGCTTTTAATACCCCTAGGGGGCACTTTGAATATTTGGATTTTCTGTTCATTCTAATAAACAACTGAGTAACTCGCTATTCTTCCCAGTTTATTCATTACAATTTCAACAAGAGTGAACTGTTGTTGTTAACCTACCCTTCCTGGTTTGACAATCACATGATTCCCAATCAAGCGGCACTGAACCTCATAGAGCCTCTGGGAGTTATCCTGTTTGAAAACAAAAAAATTGCATTTTGCAATATTTATCAAGAAAAGTTATAGTTATTTTAGAAAGTAAAAAAATTGATTCTGAATTACCTCTTGTCTTACGAATTCATTGGCATGATTAGCCACCTCCTTTACTATCACTAGGGCAGCTGTAGAGATTTATCAGGACATCATTATTTTCATATAATAAAAATTTCAGATCAGGATTTGGTTGTACTGTATGTATTTAGATGAATTAAAGGTGTGTCTAACAATGGAAGATTTCGAGAGCTTTCATTTTCACCTTCTGCATCTCTGTAGTCTGGGGATTCTTCATCTAGATTGTTCAAATAATCTGAGGAAAATATAAATATTAAAAAATTTGAGAGTAATTTAAATATATTTGAAATGCATACATTATATATATGAAGAGTTCAGATGCAAAAGCCTCTAAATGCCATTTGAAATTTTCTTCTTTAATGATGATTTTTATCAAACTTGTATATTTAAGTTCAGTAATTTCACTTAAATAACAATTAATAGGTAATTATAATTGCCATTTAAGTGAAATCACTGAACTTAAATATACAAGCTTGATAAAAATTATCATTCTAGAAGAAAATTGCAAATGGCACTTAGAGGCTTTTGCATCTGAACTCTTCATATATATATATATATATATATATATATATATATTAATAATAAACAATTGGAAGTTGCCATTTCACTAGCTCATTTTTAGCCAGTTTCCATTCTAAACTTCATCTAGTCACGTAAGGGCATCTCTCAGCGGCCATTATCCTGTTTGTATATGATACATACTATTACCCAGCAAACACAATCACGTGTTGCAAATGCTGCCTCCATGATGTTGCCTTTAGTTTCAAACCAATAGAAATTGACTGTAATGCAATTCCAATAATTTAATAATCTATAAATCTACAATAATCCTGTTATTTATGTAATTTATGCCACACTCTGTCAGTTTAAATCTAGACTAAAAATGCATCTCTTTAACCTGCCAATCATATAGAACATTATACATTTCTATTATTCAAATCAGTTAAATGCTTATTAGGCTGCATAGATTAGGTCAACTGGAACAAAGGACACTTCATTTGATGTACTTGTTACATCATAAGAAGAACGGCATCTACGCTAATGTCTTTCCATTTATTGGAATGTCTTTCCAGGCCGGATCCAGATCATACGGCGAACCAGCACCTGGACACGACCACAACGCCTTTGCCCCCATGCTATTTCTACATTACAGACAGTGGTTGATCCACGAAATTAGTAATTTGGTAGTTTGTTTTTGTATTTCTGTTGGTAATGTCCTTGTCTTCTAATACTGATAACAACTTGTGCAAAATACAAGTCTGCAATATGTTGATTAATCAGGAAATAAAAACACATCATAACTTATTCAGACAAATAGCACTGCTGTATTTCATACATTTTTTACAACAGACTGCTTTATTTCCAAGTTGATGCATGCATGGTAAACTTTACATTTTAATACAATATAGTACAATTAATTTTTTAATTTGAATTGTATAGGCTTTTCTAATCAATTCCAGATATACTGCATGTTCATGTTTAATATTTCCTCCATAATTACGTACATAAAGAAATATATTTTTTGTAAGGTCGGTTATCTTTGTCGAAAGTGCGCAATAGATACACCCACATTAACAATATCAACATATGACTTATTTTTTCCCGAAAAGACCATAAACATTACAAACAACACGTAACAAATAATGTAAATACATATGTCGTACATTTAATCCTGTGAGACTGAGACGCTGCAAATCGAATGATTTTAATGTCGCTACTGTCGCTAGGGAATAGTAAGATGGCCGCTCAAACACTTCACCGCCTGATGGCAGTTCAGAATGCAATGAGCAATTTAGTCATTATACAGATCAGTGCTAGGCTAGCAACTGCAATAAGCTAAAACCTCTTACCTCTTAAGTGTACTAAAATTACACTTACTGCATGTTGTGCTTAAAACCACCCAGAATACCTTAGCAACCGGATAGCAACAACCTAGCAACCATCCACAATACCCTAGCAAACTGAACCACAATGTGTTACTAATCGAAACACACCATATAAACAACACAATCTGGTCAAACAACTTGTTGCAACCAAGTTCGAGTCATCTTTATTTATACAGTGATTTATACAATAACGATTATTTCAAAGATGTTTTACAGTGATAAACAGGAAAATAATGATCAAGGATGCGAACAGGAATCAATTGTGATGTAAAGCAGCTCTAAAAACACAATAGTGTCATTGTTCAGCTGTAGTCAGTTCAGTTTTCATTTCATTTGTGAAATTATTTCAATCAAAGCAGCTTTGCAGAAAACAGGGGTGTCATCATCCATTTCAGTTCAGATCTCGTTCAAAGGTGTCAGTCCAATCAAACACACATTGCAATGTGCTAAAAAAACACGCACTAAAAACACCTTAGTGTCAGTGTGTAACAAGCTAACTCACTGACAACTGCACCACTATGTGCTGAAAAAACTACTCAGAAAACCTTAGAAACCACAAAGCAACACCCTGGAAACCACTCAAAATAACCTAGAAACTGCACTGCCATGCCCAGAACACCTAAGCAACCGCATAGCAACACCCTAGCATTGTGGCAGTGATTTATGTATAGGAAAGCACTCCCATTTCCTTCATAAAATCTTTCTAAAGTGTAAAAATTCTCACCAGTTAGGAGGAGCTGATATTGTGGAATCCTCTGGATAGGTTTAAGCATGTAATGTTTCACTGCGAGGTTAGCGCAGCATGGATTGCTCTGTATCATTGAGAAAGTAAGGCAGAGAAAGAAAGACAGAAGTTGATTTTTTTGTGAAAACATAGTATACTTAAGCACAATATATTCATATATACTTTAGTGTAACTAAATGTATTTGTGGCCCACTATAAATAGGTCTTAAGTCATGTCAGAAAGCATCTATTTACGAATTAAAATGCACATTGAACATCAGCACAACTCGTAATTAGGAGTTTTGGTAACTTTGTTATTTAAAGTATACCTAAAGTATAGGCCTACTTGCAATAGTTCCACTATAACACAATCAAATATGGATAATTATCAAATTACGGATATTTAAAGTGTATAATAATTGAAGTTAAAAAAACAAAAACAAAACCACCTGAGAGACTATTCACATCAATACAAAGGCATTTAAGGTATGAATTAAAAACAAGTCGGAGTGGTTCTATTACCTCAAACTCTTTGACGACTTTGGCAAATGCTGGGTTTTTCCGGCAATGCTCTTCTAGAAGTGCCACATTCTTGGAGAACTCACAAATATAATTGGAGTACATTTTGAGATAAGGTCCTCTCTTCACAAATATATCTGCTACACGACAATGCTTGTTCCTGATTGAACAAGGAAACTTCTATAAATAAAAATACAACCATTTGTTTACACATGTTGTCCAAACCTGTACTATACGTTTCGAGACCAGTGTTGTGAACAAGACCAGTTTATTTAATTGAAAAGATTCAAAAGAATGTTTTCCCAAAAGGACATAGCTAATTCTGCAAGATGGCAAGTGCAGATGTCAATATTTTCAGTGGCTAAGGAGTAACTAGCAAATCTATTGTTGTGTGTTCATACCTATGGTTCATACAGATGATGACAGAACAGGCCAATTCAGTTTAAAAATTCATTTTTAAATAAAACCTTTAGTTTTTATCAATAATTTGGTCACACTTTAGTTTAGTTTAATTCTCACTAACTACGATTTTTGCCTCGATAACTCCTAATTACTGTTTATTATTACTTAGTAAGGTAGTTGTTAAGTTTAGGTATGGGGTATGATTGAGGGAAGTAGTATATGGTCATACAGAGTAGGGCATTAATGTGTGCTTTAAGTACTAATAAACAAGTAATAAGCATGCTAATAAGCAGCTAGTTAATAGTGAGAATTAGTGAAAATTGAACCCTAAACTAAAATGTTACCAAAAATGTATAATGCCTTTTTTAAATAACTTGAAAATGACTCGTCATATCTAGTTTCCACACCTTTTGTGGGTAAAATGCTTTATGGAATTAGACCCAATGTAGCCTGGATGCCAGCCCGAACTCCGCCCACAACATTTTTTGGACGGGAAGTTCGGTCTGGACTCGATCCATTGAGGAATAATTATGATCGGTTCAGAAATCATCGGGCCAATCAAATTGCCAGGGAGGGCTTTATACGATGATTGACAGGTGGTCTTCAGTAACGTAATCCTCACGTCATCAAAGTGCGCTTGTCAAAGATGACTGCAGCTGGAGAATTGAGATGTATAGATTCCGCTGTCGTGTCTTTTGTAAAAAAAAAAAAATCGACAGCGCATTCATTTTAATAGACAAACAGAGAACTGCAATCAAGGCATTTGTCGATCGGAAAGATATTTTTGGCTTCCTTCCTACATGATTTGGGAAAAGTGTAACTTATCAGCTGGCTCTGACGGTCGTTAAGAAGATCATGGGACGTAATGAAAAGCCTGTGGTCGTTGTGGTTTCTCCTTTGGTAGCACTCATGGAGAAGTAAGTAAAAGAAGTAACACTCGTTATTTAAAGGTTCTCTGAGCGATCCTGGGTGTTGTTGACGTTCGGAATATTTTCAAACAAATCGGAGGCTAGCTAGACCCTCCCTCCGCCGCATCTCATCTCCTCCCCCTCCCTTCCGTCCTTCCTGAAATAATTGTGAACGTGCATTTCTAGCTAATTATATCCTTGTGTGGGTTTGGCGAACAGAAAGCGTCAATTTAGAAGAAAAAAAACAATTGAACGTTACCCACCTGTCCAGCAAAAACAGAGCAACCTGACGTCGGACTGGAAGCCCTTCTGCCGCCGGAGTTCTCGCCATCGTTCAAAAGCTTTGCTACCGATGTAAATTCGGAACTTCGCACGTTCTTTATCCGACTCCTTCTTCTTTTTAATTTGTTCTTCAGAACGACGTCTATTTGGTCGTGAGTCGGCCATTTTTCAAACTTCCCTCTGATGCTTATCTCCTTCACACACACACCCCCTTCATGTGCAAGCGCACTAACCCCCCAGACCCACCCTCAAATACTTCTTGCCAGTGATTGGCTGGAACACTGTTTGTTAGGTTTCGTGGTCCGGGTGAGACATGATTGATTTGTTGCCGTTTGTGGAGCCTGTGGTGTCTACAGAGACCGCGTTTTTTTACAGTGTGTTTAGGGGACAGTCAGCTAGCCGATAGTGAGGAGACGTTTGATGTATGTGACAAAAAATGTTTTGGCCCCACATCGCTTAGAGAACCTTTAACTTCTAAAATAAATAAAGTTAGGCTATACATTCTGTATTTGAAAACTGCGCTATGCAAAGGAGTTGACTTATGCGCTGCTCTGATTGGTTGGTAGGTCTACTGACTATCCAATTGAGTGCAGAGGTTTTTTTTTGTCCTGGTTCGGTTACGACACACCTCATAATCAAACCCAATGGAGGAGTTTCAGTCTCATATTCTTTCTTGAATATATTCTTTCTTTCTTGAATCACTCATATTCTTTCTTGAATATGAGTATGACGAAGTCAGGCTAGACCCAATGAGTATATAGGCAATGATCTGATGCTCATAATTGTCACTACATTAAAACTGCAATTCATAAATACAAAGACTTGAAAACACATTTTCTATGACGAGCAGGGGCAATGGAACGTGAGGGAAGGTTCGGATGATTCCTGGTCAGAGAGCTGGCTCAATGGGACATCTTACCCATCTTTAAGAACGTAACACAATTGTTTTCTTTTATATGCCATTGTTATTTGCCATTGACCAATTTATCTGATTTCTTTCACTAGCTTGGCTATAACAAACATGATGTGGTTTTAAACAGGTTCTACAGGGACAATGTCCATGAAATCACAGCAAACCTACAAATGCACTGTAGAGCTACTGTAAGGGTGACTTCCCATAGTTTAAATGTAAATAAGAAGGTATGCAAGATTGCTGCTTTCTGGTATTTGTTGATGTTGGTGCAGTTGCATTACCAGTGAGTAACCCGTTCTTCCAGCTCCTTCAACAGGTCGCAATTTAGCTCGTACAGCTGGGGCAAAGAACACAAGATCTGGTTCACGACTCGCTCATCGATCACGGCTTTTACCGCCTGACAGGAGGCCTTCAGTACCGCTTCACGAAAATCCTGCAAGGTTTAGGGAAGTGAGATTAAACTATAGAAAATTAAATAATTATTTTAGGATTAATAAGACTTTGTTTCTTAACACAGTAAAAATTAACACAGTTAACATTTAACACAGTTTCTTCATCACATGTATATGGGTTGAGAACGACATGAGGGTGAACTCATTGTTTAAGGAAACTTGGTTTATTTACTCAGTACACAGATTTAGGTCCTGAAAAACTAAAGCCATTAACTATTGATAGTTAACTTTACTACCACTGAACTTCAGTCACCCACACTGAAGCTACTGAATTGCTATTTGAAAAAAACAATTCCAACAAAACACTGAT